CGTGTGGCTGCGCCCTGACGGGGAGCTGCCTGTTCCTCCGGTTGTACCAATAGTGCCTGTGCTTGAAGCGCCGAGGAAAGCAGGAGCCCCTGGGCACGGCTCTGGGCAATCTGCAGCGGTGCCACAAGCAGGACGCAGAGCCTGGCAGCGGTCTTTGCCCACCCGCGAGGGTAACCGCCTTGGCTCTAACCGCGAGAGGCAGAAGCCAGCAGTCAGTGGAGAGAGGAGAGCGAAAGCGATTGGAAAGGGGAGGAGCAGCCTTCTCGGCTACTTCAAAATCCAGACCTGGGAGGAGCGGCCGGAGGTGGGGACTGAGGAACACGGCATGGCAGGCTGTCTGGGCCCGAGGGCATTAGGTCAGAGCAGTCAGGCTAGAATGGCGCCTGTAACAGGGCAGCCCCGTGCGTGCTTGGGGCTGAACAAGTCCGAAGCAGTGGGGGGCCTAGAGGGGTCTTAGTTGGAGAGTTCTGTCAGCTACAGTCAACTGAAGAGCAAGGCCTGTGTCCCCAAGGTGTGTGGTGCCTGCTGTGACCTGGGGGAGCCCGTGTCCGCAGGCGGGGGCGTGGCGTTCTGGTGGCGGAGTTATAGAAGAGAACTATTGGCTCGCCTAGTTCTTCCCTGGTGCTCCCCACAGTTCGTTCTCCAGGGCTTTCTTGGGTCCAGCTTGAAGGGACTTGGATGTGGGGCTTTCAGCTACTGCTAGGAGGCAATTCCAGTCTGAGCTTCCTACCTCATAGGTGTGTCTAAGGCACTTATCCCTACAGTCCATAAATGCCAGTGTACAGAAATGGAGCAAAGGGGGCTGGCATCGCACCAGGGCGTGTCTGAAAAGGATCCTAGAAGCTAGGGGTCAGCCCAGGCTCTCTGGGGCAGACCAGACCCCAAAGGTGCATGTTCCATTGTCCAGGGGTCTTCCAGGCAGGCAGCAAAGCGAACACGCTGAGCAAGTGGGAGAGGCAGGCACGGAGCTGGGTGTTGCGCTGCCCTCCCCACAGACCTGCTCCCGACGAGCAGACCCGGCGTAACTCCCTGCAGGTCTGCGTGCACGCTCGGAGCTCCCTGGGAGCACCCTCGCTGAAGGGGTGTCTTGGTGACTTACGTGCCATTGAAATGAAGCCAAACGTGCACAGAATAAACTGCCAAACCCGCTGCACTGCTTAGACAAATGCGGGGGTGCAAGTGCCAGTCCTCACGTGGGGGTATGGGCCTTGCTGCGCTTTCTTGCCTCTTCCCTCCTGAGCTGCCGGGGATGCTCCCGGGCCGGGGTGGCCATCTGCCCCGCAGGAGGGGAATGCAACGGACTGGCCACTTGGCTGGGACCCAATCCTGCTCCTCCTGGATTTTTCACATGCAGACCTTGGCCACACGAGGAAAACTGCCAAAAACCACTGCTGAGCCCAGTGCTAGGTGCTGTAGTGTAGACGGACCTTGTTCAGAGCGGCTCCAGCTGCCATGGGGTTGCAGTGGGACTCCCAGCATTGCTACCTGCCCGAACCATGTGCAAACTCCCTCTCAGGCAGCCGGGTTAGAGTGTTAACGTGACCTGTACAGGCACTGCCTGGAGGCAGTATCTTCTGGCTGGGAGCGGCTTGGGCATGGACCTGGCAGTGCACCTCACTCCACTCTCCACCATTAGCTGCCCAGTGCTGCATCCCTTCCTCTCCCTGGGTCAGGGCTTCTGAAGATGGCCGAAGTCTGTGCCTGGGCAGCTGGGAGGGTGGGGGTGGGACTCAGCGCTGGCTGCTCCTAGGGCATGGTGGAGGTTTGCTTGCTGGCGCTCGGTTCACTCAGTGTGATGATCTGGGCCTGTCCTTGGGTTAGAGCTGGGGCGGAGCGCCGTTTGGCAATGTGTGGAGGTGTCACGTGGAGTCAGCACTTGGTGGCCTAGGCATTTCTAGAGCACGAGGGCCCCGGTCACTAGCCGGGCAGCAGGAAGCCTGCAGCCTTTTTGTATTTACCGCCGAGATTGGGCTCCCTGACAGGGCTGTGTACATGTGTGTAACTGGCCTGGCAGGTGTGTGTGTGCCAGGAGTGACCAGCAGCTCGCCGCCCCACTAGCGGTGGCAGCTGTTCTCAGGGGCTGCTGCTCTCCCGCCGGGCACTGGAGCTGAACCTGCGGCAGGTCCCCAGCTGCTCCCGACAGCCTGTCCCTGGAGTGGGCCTGTGCTCAGTGCTGGAGAGTGAAAGTGAAACCAGGGTCTGGCAGCCAGAGCCTGGAGAGCCAGGATGACCTCAGCCCAGTACAGAGCGTGGGCAGGGAGTCTGCTGTCCGGAGCGGGCTGCGTACGCTGGCCGAGGTGTCTCATCAGCGCACCCAGTCGCTGCTCACTACCGTAACTAAGCAGGGTGTGCCTGGGGTGGGCAGGCTCTCTGTGCATGGGCTGCAGAAGGGGCGAAAGAGACTGGCTCTTACTGGAGCGAGCGGCTTCCATCCAGCCCAGGAGCAGAACGATTCCTTCCTTCCTTCCTTCGCTGTTTTCAGGCATCAGCCCCCAGTACTTGTGGAGCCAGTTTACTTTTAAATGGCTACTCCTGCCGCCATGGCCATGTGCCAGGCGGGGCCGCTAAGCCCCCATGGGAGTGCTGAAGTAACAGCCCTCACCTCCGGAGACAACTGAGCGCCTAGTCGGCGCTCTGGCAGGCTTCTCTGGGGACCATTATTCCCATGGGGGGCCAGGCAGCGTGACGCCTGCTCCCCGGGCTTGACGGACTTCGCACACCCGTGCAGCAGATCCCACTAGCTCCTCTCAGGAGCACTGACAGGCCCACGTTCTCTGGCATCAAGCAGCTGGGTTAGACTTTGTTACTCGGGGTCTGAAGAGCATGGGACATTTTGTATATCCGAGCCCTGGGTGAGGATAAGCCATCCTCTGGCCAGCCTGCTTGCATTGCCCTGGGCAGGCGTCACCGCTGACTGTCTGCATTACTCTGTGAGTCTGGCTCTGCCCAGCCCAGCCCAGGCAGCCCTGCCGCTTCGGGGGCAGGTAAAACCCCCACCTGGGGGTGAGTAAAGTCAGCGGGGGGTCCTGCTCTCCATTGGTGGTGATGCTCTGAGAGCCTAGCCTGGAATGCGACTTTTTCAGCACCTCTGAGTCAGCTGGAAGTCTGCTCTTGGATCCTTGGTTCTTGGAGCCAGGCCAGGCACTCTGGCACGCTGCTCTGGGGAGTACCCTGGCATCCTTTAGGCCTGGCTGGGCTTTAAAGTCACAGGGCCTCTGTCATGAGCCTGACTCAGAACCTGTTGCCCAGGCCCTTCTCCGGCCAGCCCCACTGCCACATCCGCTCACTTGTGCGCTCTTGTCTCCCTAGGTCACTTGTTCCTTGCCAGAGAGTTTGCCCACAAAGAGTCGCCAAGATAGCTGGGCCAGGAAGAAAGCGTCGAACCCCTGACCCAGACTCCATCACTGACCCCGGTGGGCCGTTTGTCTCATCCAAACGGCTGAAAATGTCCAGCAGCGCCAGTGCCCCAGGCCAGAGGAGAGCGTCCCGGGGGCTGGAGGATGCAACCAACAAGAAGAAGCAGAAGGACCGAGCCAACCAGGAGAGCAAGGAGGGCGAGAGACCCCCTGGCAGCGACCCTAAGAAAGGTAGGGCCCGGGGTGCGGCTGTCCCGCTGCTCCACCTCTCCCTGCAGCCGTCTGCTGTAGGATAAGCAAATTCAACTAAGCGCTTCCACTCGCCCATGTAACATGCTCCTCTGGGCACAAGTCTCTGAATCCTTCATCTGCTTTTCCGGCTGCCACTTGGCGCCATGTGTGAGCGCAGCTGGAACCTGTCTCTGAGCGAGCCAACCCCCTGAGGCTTGGAGCTGGGCCTTGCCTTGGCCGCCCCTCTTGTAGCAGCAGATACCCTAGGGATGGCCTTCGGGGGGGCGAGCTGCTTACCTGCTTGGGCTGTGTCGGAAGCAGGACACTTAGCTGCCCCTCACCTGCACTGGGTGTTGCTACGGGATCCAGTCAGGTGAGGCCAGGCTCTGCTGGGAGGTGACTCGCTCCGTGCTGTGTCAGACCCGGGGCCTGTCTAGCCCAGGATCGCCTGCGCTGACCTTGCACCCCCAATGCAGCGTACCCACAGTGTGGGAAGGAAAGCGGACTGGCTCTCCTGGAATAGCTCCCTGTGTAGACAAGCCCTAAGGCTGCCAAATGTCAAAGAATCTGCAGCTGCGCCGAGTGCAGGCCCACTGGTACTGGCCAGGAAACAGCAGAGCAGTCGAGTGCACAGAGCAGCCAGCCTGGCTCCTCTGCAGGATACACACTGACATGGCACTTCACTTCTGGGCCTGGTGGGTTATGGTGCATCGTTCCCCGGCGCCCGCGGTGCAGCCGCGCTGGGATTCGCACAGTAAATCACTGGGATAACCCCTCATGCCAAAGCCACGCGGGGGGCGGCAGGGAGCTCTGCCCCGTGGGAATCCTCCTCCTCTCCCCGGCGTTGCCTAGAGCTGTGCTGGCAGCCGTGCGCCCCCAGGGGACCCCTCGCGCAGGCAGTGCTGCAGGGCAGGTGGGACTCTCCAGGGGCTGGGCACAGGCGGGCTGTGACAGCCCCCTGTGGAATTGTGAGGGACTGCCTTGCTGGGTGTCCTGTGGCCTAGCGAGTAGCTGCAGGCTGCCAGCACGCGATGCCTGGCACGGGGTGGGGCCGGCCCGCGGGAGCTTTGGAGGTTCTCTAGGGGCCTTCCCCGCAGGCTGCTCCAGGGACTGCTGGGCTTTGCAGGTCCTTGTGGGCGTGCTGGGCAGAGCCCAACCCACTTCCCCAGATTCCCTTGCCCCTCGGCAAGCTGTTCCTGTCCGTTTGAACCCCTGCCTTCGCTAGCGCTCGCCTTCCCCGGTGTGTTGTAGGAGCACTAGTTACCATGGCCAGCTGGGCTCCCTTCCGAGGAGCCCCTGTATGCCTGCGGTGGGCACGCTGCAGACCTGTCGCCGTCGGGGCTGGTTGGTTAACTAGCGTGCACAGAAGCAGCTCTGCTGTTTGCGAGGAGGGGTGCAGAGCCCCTGGCCTCTGCAGGTTAGCCCGCTGCGGGGGGCTGCTTACGCTGGACGGTGTGTGCCTGCCGAGTCCTGAGCTGCTGGGAAGTGCGACCCCTGTAGGCTGACACTTTCCCACCAGCTTGGGACGTGCTCCTCAGGGCGGTGAGAATGCCACTGCGGCCGTTCCTGGGAGCTGGAACGGGGAGGTTCTGGGCTGCTGGGGGTCCCAGGTCGCTTTGGGACAGCAGCGTTCAGATGGTGGCTCACCCCAGCTGATCCCGGGCAGGGAGCCCTCAGGCTCTGATGGCCAGCAGGCTGGAGCCAGCAACGGCTGCTCCTGCTCTAATTTTTAATCCCTTCCCTGCTTTTCTAGAGCAACCCCCAGCCTTAAGAACGCCATTGGAAGGCCTCTCCGTGCAGCGTTACGGTCTGGTCGCTTCCCCCTATGTGTGTGCATCCTCTCCTTGGCCTTTCCCAACGCCAGCAAATACCCTCCTCTAGTACCGAGTGCCTGGGTGGGCCAGACTCACCGGCGTCCCAGCATGCCCTGAGCACGTGGCACTAGCCGTTTGGTGGTGGTGCAGCATTCGCTCTGACTGAGCAATGGGTCGCTCATTACCATGGCGGTAGTTACCCCCCCCCCCCCCCACTCCATCACAGACAGGCTGAGATCACCAATGGGGATCCCCATATCCCTTCCCCGGTATGTATCCGGTTCCTCAGCAGCCAGTGTGCTTTCTGTGCTGCACCGCACTGCGTGTCCAGCAACTTCGCTGGAGCTGGGGCCCCCCATGCATCAGCAGGGCCTACAGGACTTGCACCTCTCTGAATGGAGAGCTCCTTCTCCTCACCCCTGCAGGGGGCTGTGACTGTCACAGACAGGGTCCCAAGGTGGCTGGAGCTTCATCTTAGAAGCACTCTCAGTCCGGGGTCTGCTGGGGAAGCTCTCTCTGAAATCACTGGGGCGGGCTAGCGGCTGGCTTGCTGGGGTCTCCAGAGGGAATGGGGAATGCTCACAATTCCCTGCCCCATTTGCTAGCTGTCTTGGCCCTGGAAGCAAAACTAACATCCCCGCTGAGAGCGCTTGCGGGCGCCGCTAAGCTTGGCACGGCTAGAATGCACCCTGGGTCACTTGGACGCTGCGCCCCATCAGACCTCTGAGTGCAGCAGGGCCCTGCGGGGAGCAGCGAGGGCTGCAGGTGACCGTACAGGGTGGGGGGGGGTGGGCACTGACACGGGGGTCATGGAGGAAAGTCAGCAAGCAGGCGCTCAGCGTGCCATGCGGTGTCCGAAGTGGGGAATGTTCAGTGGAGCAGGGAGTTGAACGGCAGTGGTGAGACCACCACTTGAATACTGTCCATTGCTGGGTCCAGGCTTGGAAAGGGCTGTTTCATCAGCGGTTCGGAGGCGAGCTGGTTGGAGGAGTGAGAAAGCTGCCTTGCAGGGCGAGTTAGAGGGCAGCCCTTCAGAGAAGACGTGCTCAGAGTCTGTGCCTAGGTGGGAAGAGTCAGCAGTGTGCCCTTGTTGCCAAGAAGGCTAATGGCATATTGGGCTGCATTAGTAGGAGCATTTCCAGCAGATCGAGGGACGTGATCATTCCCCTCTATTTGGCATTGGTGAGGCCACATCTGGAATATTGCGTCCAGTTTTGGGCCCCACACTACAAGAAGGATGTTGATAAATTGGAGAGTCCAGCGGAGGGCAACAAAAATGATTGGGGGGCTGGAGCACATGACTTATGAGGAGAGGCTGAGGGAACTGGGATTGTTTAGTCTGCAGAAGAGAAGAATGAGGGGGGATTTGATAGCTGCTTTCAACTACCTGAAAGGAGGTTCCAAAGAGGATGGATCTGGACTGTTCTCAGTGGTGGCAGATGACAGAACAAGGAGCAATGGTCTCAAGTTGCAGTGGGGGAGGTCTAGGTTGGATATTAGGAAACACTATTTCACTAGGAGGGTGGTGAAGCACTGGAATGGGTTACCTAGGGAGGTGGTGGAATCTCCTTCCTTGGAGGTTTTTAAGGTCAGGCTTGACAAAGCCCTGGCTGGGATGATTTAGTTGGGAATTGGTCCTGCTTTGAGCAGGGGGCTGGACTAGATGACCTTCTGAGGTCCCTTCCAACCCTGATATTCTGAGAGTCTATGAAGAGAGAAGACTTGGTAGCAGAGGGCTCTGCGATCCAGTAGCTGGAGTCAGTCGTTCAGACTGGAAATAAGGGGCTGCTCTTTGCCAGCAGGGGTAATTAGCCACTGCCCCAGCTGCTCTTAGTGTGTGGTGCATTCTCCGTCACTTCGGCTGGATGTCCCGTCACAGTTCCCCAGGCCCGGTGCTCTCCCACTGCTCTGCAATGGTCCCTGGGACCCCTTCAGTGTATCAGCCCCTCTGGCTGGGATAAATCTCGGAGCCTTCCGCAAGCCGCTGGTCTGGCCTGTGTTACCCAGGGGGTCAGGTTCCTTGCGGGCTGGGTGTACAGGCAGGCAGCTCGGCCTGGCATTGTGGCCTGCCAGTGGGATGCTGGATGCCGGGCTCTGGTGCGGTCAGTGTAGGCAGTGAGCTAGGAGAGACGCATGGGCATCCGGCTCCTTTCCATGCCTCTGGGTGCCCCGCTGACCGAGCGCTGACCGAGCGAGCTGAAGAGAGCAGAGTCGCTGCAGCAGCAGGCGCTGGCCACCCTGAGACTGTCCCTACGGCTTCAGACATTGCACTCCATGCAGCTCGCTGCCCCCTGCTAGCGCCGCTCTGTCCCTTCCACCTCCAGTGCCGACGGGCCTGAGCCAGGCTGCCCCTGGGAGGAGCACTCGTCTAGCCACCCACCGCGGAGGCAGCAGGCACCAAGCCAAGAGGGCTGGCCAGGAGCCCGGGGGAGCCTGCACCTGGAGTGGGGCTCTGTGGTGTTCCTGGGTCAGCCCTGGTACCAGTGTCGAGCTGCAGACTGATCCTGTGTGCGGCTGCTCCCCCGGCAGGAGTGCGCTAGCGCCCTTGCGTGGCCTCGGCTCAGGGAGCTCAGGCCCCTGCCCTCGCAGGTCCTGCTCCAGCACTGCCTCGCTCTGCTGTAGCTGGGCTCCTGTGCGGGGACACCAGCAGGCCTGGCTCAGCTGTGACAGCCACGCACAGAGCCTGCGGGAGCCGGGCAGACCTGCTGTACCGCGCTCTCCAGCACAGCCCCCGGCCTGGCCCGGCCCTCCTGGGGAGCGAGCGCGGTGCGGCTGGCATCCCCCCGCCTGGGACTGCTAATCAGGCGGCTCAGAGCCCCCTCCAGCTGCAGTGCGAGCCCGCCTGGGCGCCGCGCCGCCACGAGACGGAGCAGCTCGCACGGGGAGAGCTGCTCTTCCCTCTCGGGGCGCTGTGCCCCTGGGGCGGGGCCATAGCAACTCTGCCTGGCCCTGTGCCCCTGGGGCTTCCCAGCTGCGCCCGTTCTCGCCCCCTTCCCCAGGGGCTCCCACTAATCCCTTCCTGGAGCGTGCTGAGTGCCTCTTTGCTCCCCGGAGTGGGCCGGGAGTGACGCTGTCCCTCTGCTGTTGCAGACCTGCTGCTGGACTGGAAGCAGAACGCTGACGAGGTCATTGTGAAGCTGAACTTGGGCAGCGGGCCCCTGAAGTTGGAGGAGGTGGATGCTGCGTTCACAGACACCGACTGCGTGGTCAGGCTGCCAGGTAACAGCCGCTCAAGGCAGGATCATGGCTGGCGCCTGGAGACAGGCGAGCGGAACGCCCCGTCACCGGCTCACGTGGCTGCGCTGGGCCCGTGTCCTCCGCTAACCAGAGCACGCAGTACCAAGCAGGGCAAAAGGGGTGGGGGGCAAGAAGAAAGCACTAGATAGCCTAGGTAACCCAGAGTAGTGTGTGGAGCTGGGCCACATACTCTGTGCTCCCTGCGGACCCAACCCCATCTGGCCTGCCCCGGAGCCACCAGCCTAGAGGGTACCGCTGGGAACAGCAAGCTGGAGCGCGCTGACGGGAGAGGCAGCTCTCAGCAGAGCCCTTCTGTAGCCACGCGGGTTGGGTCAGGGCCTAATGGAGACTAGTTCCTGGTACCTGCCCGGCCTGTCGGGGACACCCTCTCTGCACAGGAGACGACAGACCCTGGAGGCTAGTCCCAAACAAAGAGCTGAAACCTTGAGCGGGTCTGGGGCCCCTCCCCGCGCGTCCCCAGCCAGAAAGGAAGCAGCTGAACAGAGGGAGATTTGGGGTATGATCCCGAAGGGAAGAAGTGGTGCTGGGCTTAGCAGCAGGCTGGCGGAGAATGGTGAGTTGTAGGCCCCTCATAGGCAAGGAAGCATGTGGCAGAGCGTGACCAGAGGCGGCATACGGAACTGTCGGAAGATGGTGCAGCCCAGTGGCTGGAATTCCCCCCCATGCGTGGCAGTGGCAGACGCTGTCAGGGCTGCAGGGGAGCAGGCAACGTGGAGATGGACTGTCGGGGTGAGAGCCCCGCAGCCCCTCTGCAAAGGCAGCGCTGGGCCGGCCTGCGGCAAAGGGGAGCCGACTCACTGCTGCAGCACCTTTGGCAGGAGGCGCTGAAGGCCTGAGCTCTGTCCGGAGCCCCCTTTGGAGGCATGGGGCCCCCTGAGCAGAGTCCCTTCGCAGTGCAGCAGCGCCTGCCTGTGCCTGCCCCAGCTGTGAGGGCCCCATTTGTGCCCACAGATGGCCGCCAGTGGAGTGGGCAGTTCTACGGGGAGATTGAGAGCTCCTGCAGCAAAGTCCAGGGCAAGAAGGGCAACTTCCTGCAGCTGGTGCTTCAGAAGAAGATCCCCCTGCACACCTGGGCTTCGCTCCTGGTAAGGCTGTGGCAGGCCCTGGCCACCAGGGCCGGCTCCAGGCACCAGCTTACCAAGCAGGTGCTTGGGGCGGCCACTCCGGAGAGGTGCGGCTCGTCCAGCTGTTTGGCGGCAATTCGGCGGACGGTCCCTCACTCCTGCTCGGAGCGAAGGACCTCCCGCCGAATTGCCGCCACAGATCGCGATCGCGGCTTTTTTGTTTTGTTTTGTTTGTTTGGCTGCTTGGGGCGGCCAAAACCCTGGAGCCGGCCCTGCTGGCCACGCACCCCGAACCCGCCGCAGGGCCCACTGGAGATGAGGGGAGAGGGAGCTGAGCTCCCTGGGGCTGGGGAGAGGAGGGTGGGCACTGCGGGCGTCTCTGAGCGTCCCGCTGGCCGGAGGGCCTGGCTGCCACTGCCTTGGCCCGGGGCGGTGGGAGGCTGGCCATGCCTCTGCCAATGGCGTGGAGCTGCACCCGCCTTGCTGCTCGCGGGGTCCCGTTCGGGCCAGGGCCCCGGCTGCACAGCCGTCCCAACGGGCCCCGTTACCTTTCCCAGAAGAAGCGGAAGGACGGATCCAAGGAGCTAGCCAAGGGGGCCATGAGCCAGAACGGGAAGGAGCAGCCCCAGCCTGCACAGGCCGCCCCCGAGGAGCTGTCGAGGAGCAAGCGGGAGTTCCCGAACTCGAAGCGAGCTCCAGGGAGGGGCGAGGCCCCAGAAGGGAAGAGCCCGGCCAGCCCCAGGCTGCAAAGCGGGCCCAGCGCCAAGCGGGCTGGGTACCTCAAGGTGGCTCTGATGGAGGAGGAGCCAAATGCCGGGGTCCCTGGGGGCTTGGAGCCTGGCAAGGGACCCAGCGGGAGAGGGGGCAGCCGGCAGAACGGCCGAGCAGCCCACGGCGATGCTGCCACGGACCTGACCCCGCCTCTGGTGAAGGTAAGCGGGGGGCACTGGGGATCCTGCTGCCCCCATCACAGGCGTTGTCCTGCCCCATCCCCTCTCCCGGGGTCAGGAACCCCTCGTTCAGGGTGAGGCCGGGGGTCCCAGTCTCCCAGTGGTGCTCCTTGGAGCCCCCCTGCAGGCTTGGCTGGGGCGTGGAAACGGGGAGGCCCGGCCCTGCCACAGCCTCAGGATGTTGGGCTGCTTGCTTGAGTCCCCGGCTCAGGTTCTCTGTCTGGGCCGAGGCGGGCGCCCTGGGGTGGGGGCCGTGAGGGGCTGGATCCCAGCAGTCTGTTGACTGGCTGACTTACCAGGCTCGCACCCTGGGGCTGAGGAACTCCAGAGCCCAGCATCCACCTGGCTCTGGTCTCTGGGCAGAGGGAAGGTGCCCCCGCTCCTGGCGCAGCACTCTGGCCCTTGGCAGTTGGGTGGGTAGGAGCCCTGGAGCTCAGCCCAGGGTCCCTTCTGCGCCCCAGGAAACCCTGCGCGGGGGGGCAGGGCAGGTGGGAACGGAGGGGGCTCCCCTCGCTTGGCAGGGGCTAGGGCCGAGCTGGCAGCCTGGCCATTCGGGGCCGTAGAGCAGAGCTACGGCTGGAGGGGGGCCGGCCCCAGCTCCAGGGGGACCCCCCATGTCTCACCTTCCCCCTCTGCACATGAAGGCCGAAGAGCTGCAGAAGGAGCCCGTGCTTGTGGGGATGCAGCCGCTCGCTGCCCCTTCGGAGAGCTTTCCCCAGCACATGGCGCCCTGCCTGGAGAAGAGACCCCTGCAGCCGGCCGTCTCCCAGTGCCCGCCAGCCCTTGGCGAGGGCCCCGAGGCTACCCTGGCCCCCGCCTCCCCTCCGCTGGGCAGAGACGCTGAGAAGAGAGACTGGTCCAAAGAGGATGTTGCCCTGGAAGCAGCAGCGGATGGTAAGTGTAGAGGGGGAGGGAACCAGAGCACTAGGCCGTGGCTTTCCGGGCCCCTCCAGTTATCGGGAGCCTGCTCCGTCTCTTTGCCGGCCGGCGGCGTGGGAACCAAGGGCGCCTGGCTCCCTGAGGGGTGGTGCTGCCGTCCCAGCGAACGGGAGCCTGGGCCCAGAGCTCCCCTCTGAGTCCTGGGGCCCGTCTGCCTGCGGCGCTGGTGGCGGGGGGCTCCCAGGGCACAGCCGCCTCGCGCCCCACCTGGCCTTGTCCTGTCCTAGAGCCAGAGCCCATCGTGAGCCTGAGCTTGGTGAAGAACGACTCGTACGAGAAGGGGAGTGATTCAGTGGTGGTGCACGTCTACGTGAAGGAGATCCACAGGGAGACCTCCAAGGTGCTGTTCCGGGAGCAGGACTTCACGCTGGTGTTCCGGACCAGGTACTGCCGAGCGCCGGGCTTGGCCGCGCCCTGCGGGGGCTGCAGCATGCCAGGTGCTCCCCCGCGTGCCCTCTGATCGCCTTCTCCTCTCCTTGCAGTGACGTCAACTTCCTGCGACTGCACCCCAGCTGCGGCCCCCACACGGTGTTTAGGTGGCAGGTGAAACTCAGGTACCAGGCGCTGGCCCCGCAGTACCCTGCTGCTCCTGCTCTCCTCCAGCCAGGCACAGATCGGCCTCGTGGCAGGAGCACAGTGGGGTCCATCCCCACTGCCCCTGGCCTTGTGCAAGCAATGCCCCTTTGGGCGTCAAGGGGCGGAGAGCCCCTGCCCCGGATGGCACTGCGCAAGGCAGCTCCGTCTGCGCTGATCCGAACCGGGGCCAGCGGGGCAGACAGCGCCCGGCTGGCTGCGCTTGCTGCCCTGGTACGTGCTGCCCTCCGCCGAGGTGCAAGCTGCCTGGCGTGCGCTCCCAGGGTGAGGAGCCAGGGGACCAGGCAGAGCCTAGACCATGCTGGACACAACACACCAGACCCCCCCTCCCCCTCCCCCCGACGCGCGGGGCTGGGCGGATCAGTGGTGGCGTTGCGCTGGCAGGCGGCTGGCCCAGCCCAGAGCGCCTCCGCGCTGCCGACCCCCTACCCTGCAAGAGGTCCCAGCTGCATCGGAGCCCAGCCAGGGCCCTGCCTCATGTCTGCCAGCCCTGAGCCTGCTCTCCTGTCCCCAGGAACCTCATTGAGCCGGATCAGTGCACGTACAACTTCACCATCTCCCGCATCAACATCTGCCTGAAGAAACGCCACAGCCAGCGCTGGGGGGGGGCTGGAAGCCCCAGCTGCACGAGGTCTGCTCCTTGGCTTCCCCTCGCCTTAGCTCTATATGCCCCCCGCCCAGGGGGAGCTCAGTTCCCGTCTCTGATAGGGGAGGGCAGACGTTGCCCACGTACAGTGCAGGCTGGGGGAGGGAGCTTGAGTATGGGGCCAGGGGAGCCTGGGGGCTCTGCCGTCTTTGGGGGCGGGGGCTGGGCGTGTGTGGGAGGGTGGCCTGCCGGCTTTGGGGGCGGGAGCCGAGCGTGGGGGGGCCCTGCCAGCTTTGGGGGTGGGGGCCGAGCATGGGGCAGCCCCTGTCGGCTTTGGGAGTGGGGCCTGGGCATGGGGGGGGGTGGCCTGCAGGCTTTGGGGGCGGAGGAGCTCGGACGTGGGAGGGCCCTGCCGGCTTTGGGGGCGGGGGAGAGCTTGGGGATGGGAGCATGAGCTGCTCTGCCCGTGCCCACACCGCTGCTAACCACAAGCCCACCTGTCCCCCTTTTTAAGGTGCAGTGGGTGGTGCGAAGGTTGCCATGCCAACAGGCCCTACCCCTCTGGATAAGAGCCAGCCGGGCAGTAACCAGCACCCCCTGTCCAGTAAGGAGGAGGCTCGGGCAGGGGAGAAGGAGAAGCCCAGAGCAGAGGACGGTGGCTTGGAGGGCGTCACGGCCCGGACGGCCACAGAGCACGTCACAGTGAAGCAGGAACCGCATGTCCCCTCAGTGAGCACTTGCATGCTGGCGTGAGCCGGCGAGATTCACGAGGGCCCAGACACCAGAGTGATGCACTCAGCTCCTTCACTGCCAGCGCTGAGAGGAGGGCTCAGCTCCCGGCACCTGCAGACCCGCCCACAGCACCTTCTGCTCTGGGAGAGGCAGCACTTCTCTCGGAAAGGAATTGTTCCTGCCTGCAAGGCGCTGTGGGGGCAGGACAGGGTGCTGGCTGTGGGGGGAGCTCCCAGCAGGAGCCGCTGTGGGGGTGGGGCAAGGCGCTGGCTGTGGGGGGAGCTCCCAGCAGGAGCCGCTGTGGGGGTGGGGCAGGGCACTGGCTGTGGGGTAGCTCCCAGCAGGGGACACTGGGGGGCGGGGCAGGGCACTGGCTTTCGGGGGAGCTGCCAGCAGGGGGCGCTGACTCGGGGGTGCTCCCAGCAGGGGGCGCTGGGGGGGCGGGGCAGGGTGCTGGCTGGGGGGGGGAGCTCCTAGCAGGGCGCTGTGGGGGCGGGGCAGGGCGCTGGCTGGGGGAGGAGCTCCCAACTGCTCCGGCCTGCCCCAGCTGAGCTCCTTGCAGCGAGGGGCCCCGCTCAGGCCTGTCCCTCTCTCTCCCTCGGCCATGGCAGCCCAAGCCGATGTGCATGGTGCCGCCGATGACGCACAGCCCGGTGAGCAGTGAGAGCGTGGAGGAGGACGAGGAGGAGGAGGAGAAGAAGAAGGTGTGTCTGCCGGGCTTCACGGGGCTGGTGAATCTGGGGAACACCTGCTTCATGAACAGTGTCATCCAGTCCCTGTCCAACACGCGGGAGCTGCGGGACTATTTCCATGGTGAGTGGGGGGCGGTGGCTGTGCCCTGGGGCTGGGGTGCTGCTGTGAGGGACCCGGCTCACCCTGTCCTGCTTGTCTCCTGCAGATCGCTCCTTCGAGGCTGAGATCAACTACACCAACCCGCTGGGCACGGGAGGGCGCCTGGCCATCGGCTTCGCTGTGCTCCTGCGGGCGCTCTGGAAGGGCACCCACCACGCCTTCCAGCCCTCCAAGCTGAAGGTGAGGAGGGAGCCCCGGGCCTGGCGGGGTCACGGCATAGTGCCAGTTCAGAGGGGCTCCCGGGAAATGGACCGTCAGACTAGCTGGGGTTCCCTCTTTGCGGCGGGGGCCGGTTTGGCGGCTGAGGGCAGTAGTAGATGGAGAATGCTGCAAGGCCACGCAAAAAGGCAGGGCTCCAACTCTCTGTAGCTGGGGAGTCTTCGGGCGGGTGTTCCCCAGTGGGGCCTGCTGGGAACGGTTCTTGGCCCTTTGCTAGGTAACATTTTTATCGGTGACCTGCAAGAAAACATCAAATCATCACGGATGAAGTTTGCCGATGGCCCGAAAATTCGGAGAGTGATACGTAATGCAGAGGGCAGGTGTAACGATGCGGTTCTGGCGGGACCCAACTGAGAGTGCCAATTCAGGACAAATCGCTTAAAACAGGGCAGTTACAGCCCTAGGCTGGGGGTTTTCTACCTCTAAGGCAAACCAAACCAGCCAGCCAAAGAGGACTTTGGTCTCACCCCACTGGCTAACCACAAGTC